CAGAGGAGGAGGGTGAAAAGAAGCACAGTCTCTTGGAGAAGCTTCCCAGCTCTGACGGCAGCTCCAGCTCTGTATGTTAATTTCCTGGCAACCTTAAAAATTTAAGCATCTTTTGTTTTATTGAGTTTTTCAGGTTTTGCTAGTGTTTAAAATTATATTTGACAGTCTAGCGATGAGGAAGAAGATGAAGGAAAAGAGAAGAAAAATAAAAAGAAGCACCGATCAACAAAGAAAAAGAAAAAGCAAAAGAAGGGACTGAAAGTGAAGATCAAGCGTAAGACAAAGAAATTGAAGATAGAAGAGGACAAGCATGGTGAGTACACCACAGTTATTGTTGAGGAGATCAAGGAAAATCTTCCTGGACACAAGGAAACTGAGGAGGTTCCTCCACCGCCACCTCCGGGGGAAGTGTGCTCCGGCTCCCAGGTTCACAGCGGTGAGTGAGCCGAGGAGAAGGGTATTTTGGAGGAAGAGAAGGAGAAAGAAAAGGAGTGTGTGCTTCCCATTAAGAATGCATGTATCTGGTGAAGTGGTGATGAAGTTTGCGTGTATGATTTTTTTAGATGAATCAAATATTTTATTATGATGAGGAGTACAAGTGGTACTCAACTCTTAGTCTCCATGAGACATTACAAAAGATAACCTATGGGGACATTCAAAAATCGAATCTAAATGCTTAACAACAAATCTAGTTTTTAGTGATTTCTTGCACACATAGGCTAGGGAAGTTACACCAACTATAAAAGGAGAACATAGTGTTTACAAATTTCCCCCTAATCCATGCAAAAGACCTCCTTTGAATTAAATCAAATATTTTGTCTTCTTCCCATTGCTGTGAGTTGTGAATGATTTTGTTTCTTGTGTACCATATTGACCATGTCACCACCAAGAAGATGAAAAACCACACGTCAGCTGAAACTACTTTCTTTATCCCTTGACTATGCGCTTCGCAAAGAAGAGAAATAGTGTTTGGGAGGGAGATGGAAATCCCCCACCATTTGTAACATCTCATCCATAGCTCTTGGATCTTATTGCACTGCGCAAATAAGTGATTTTCATCCTCAACATTCCTTCTACAAATGCTGCAGATGCTCTCCTCTTCTTCACCCAAAATGCCCCTCTTTTGAAGATTTGATTTTGTTGGAAGGCCATTAAGTAAAAGGCGCCAACCAAAACAGCTTACTTTTGTCGGGTTTAGTTTGTTCCACATCCTTTTGCATATTCTTGCCTCCAGAATTCTGCTCTGTCCAACCAACATTGAGTATGCCTTGCCGACTGAGTATCCATTTGCTGCATCTACATTCCAGCTCCATTGGTCCGGTTGTGATGATAGCACAATCTCGCTCATGAGGACCTCCTTTAGTCTTTGTTCTTCATTCTTTTCCCTGCCAAAAAATTCACGTCTCCAAATATTTTTCCAGCCCCATACTCCATTAGAAAATTGGCCCACTTCCATAACTTTAGCATTCCTATCATATGCCAAATTAAAC